GTTGTTGCTGTTGTCCATTGTTGTCATCTTTCTTTGTTGAAATCAGGTCTCACTTGTAAAAGAGTCCTCGAGGCTCAATGGGATTTACCTGTATAAATAAAGGTTGATTGATTGATTGATTGATTCTTATGGGGCCCGGGCTTTGGGCCCCATAAGGAGCAGTTGGTCCTCACAATGCAGTATAAGTTGGAAAAATGGGCCTCACAAAGTAGCATAAACAAGGACACACACACACACACACACACACAAAATGTTTTGTTACAACTCCTTTCAAAGAGCTCCATGATTTTATCAGTAAATAGCTCTATATTTGAACCTGGTGATCTATAGACACAAGTGATTATTATATTTTTAGAGTTCTCATTTAATATATCAACCATAATTATTTCCATTACATCATCAAAAACTATTGACATATTATCCTTAATTTTGCATTTAATTTCTGTATTAATAAATAAAGCAACCCCCCACCTTTTATATTACTTTTATTCATATAATACAGTATAATCCATATCCTTCTGTTTGAAAGTTATTTATGTTTTCATCATTTAACCAGGTCTCTGAAACTGCTATTATACTAAAACTTATGTTCAACTGTTTTAAATAGTCTGTTATTTTAGATAAATTGCATTTATACTTCTACTATTAAAATGAATGATAGAGAAACATCCGCTTGCTATTTTAATGTCATTAAATTGCTCTTCATTATAATATTCACAATCTTTGATTTATGGAAAACATTTGTATCATCCATACTATTCACGTATATTTTTAACTAAGTCTTCGTAAGTATCCATATATTTAAAATACATTTCCACCATAGATAAATATTGTTTTCTATATCTACTACTTCATTTTCAATGTAAATGAAGGTGTCCAGTTCTTCAATTAGTTGTTTTTTTCATAATTGTACTCAGTTCCAGTCAATACAAGTTTGATCATTTCCTTATTATGTTCGGTTTACTTCATGTTCATGTGGATATTATTGGATTTCACAAACTTGAGCAGAAGTTACATTGTTCCATCTTTTTATATCACTGATATTTATCCAGCTCTGCCATTTGTCTGATGGGCAGAACCTTGGCTTCCTCAGGTGGACCATTTAATTTGATGTACACCTTACAGTTTGTGGCCCATGTTGACTGTATATTCTTTTGCTTTCCGAGAAAATGTGTTCATCTTGCTATTTCTGCATTGATCTTTGTAAGATGTTCATCTACATAGACATTGGATTCTTTTAGTTTCCTCCCTTGTATTAGGAGCACATGTTTATGTTTCCTATTGGTAAACTGAATTAGAATGGCTGGTTTAACTCCTTTGTTTTTTTGTGGAAGAGAATGACAAGCTTGAATACTACTGTTATCACTGGCAATGCCCTTATAACTGAACAATGTTATTATCTGTTCTTCAAGGGATCCCTGGTCTTCATCCATTTCTTCATTAGTGTTTGTCTGCATCATCAACCGAGCACATGATCGTGGCTTGGTTTCCAGCCCACTAATTACAACATCATTCATTCGACTATATTGTTCTAATTCAGCCACACGATGTTCCAAGAGAGCTATCTACTTGTCTTTTTCGACATGCTGTCTCTTGAATTCTTTAACCTCTGCCATTAAGTCCATTATGAGTTTCTGTTGCTGTGAGATTGTTGCTATCTCACCAGACATCAAATCCAAGGCTTTCTTTATCTCCTCAAACTCTTCTTCAGTCATCGGTCGACTTAGCATCACATTTCTTTTCGCCATTTGCGTTTATGTTGAAAAAAAACGCTGATGCTGGTAGCATCAGTCATGGGCCAGTTTGTAGCAGCTCCTGGGCCTGGCTTTAGCAGCTCCTGAGCCTGGTTGTAGCAGCTCCTGGGCCTGGCTTTAGCAGCTCCTGAGCCTGGTTGTAGCAGCTCCTGGGCCTGGTGATAGCAGTTCCTCGGCTTGGCTGCAGCAGCTCCTGGGCCTGGCTGCAGCAGGTCCTGAGCCTGGTTGCAGCAGGTCCTGAGCCTGTTTGTAGCAGCTCCTGAGCCTGGTTGTAGCAGCTCCTGAGCCTGGTTGTAGCAGCTCCTGAGCCTGGTTGCAGCAGGTCCTGAGCCTGTTTGTAGCAGCTCCTGGGCCTGGTTGTAGCAGCTCCTGGGCATGCTTGTAGTAGCTCCTGGGCCTGGTTGTAGCAGCTCCTGAACGTGGTTGTAGCAGCTCCTGAACGTGGTTGTAGCAGCTCCTGGGCTTGGTGATAGCAGCTCCTGGGCCTGGCTGTAGCAGCTCCTGAACCTGGTTGTAACAGCTCCTGAACCTGGTTGTAACAGCTCCTGAACCTGGTTGTAGCACCTCCTGAACCTGGCTGCAGCAGCTCCTGAGCCTGGTTGTAGCAGCTCCTGGGCTTGGAGATAGCAGCTCCTGGGCCTGGCTGTAGCAGCTCCTGAACCTGGTTGTAGCAGCTCCTGAACCTGGTTGTAGCACCTCCTGAACCTGGCTGCAGCAGCTCCTGAGCCTGGTTGTAGCAGCTCCTGGGCTTGGAGATAGCAGCTCCTGGGCCTGGTTGCAGCAACTCCTGGGCCTGGCTGCAGCAGCTCCTGAACCTGGTTGTAGCAGCTCCTGGGCCTGGTTGTAGCAGCTCCTAGGCCTGGTTGTAGCAGCTCCTAGGCCTGGTTGTAGCAGCTCCTAGGCCTGGTTGTAGCAGCTCCTGAGCCTGGTGATAGCAGCTCCTGAGCCTGGTTGTAGCAGCTCCTAGGCCTGGTTGTAGCAGCTCCCGAGCCTGGTTGTAGTAGCTCCAGGGCCTGGTTGTAGCAGCTCCCGGGCCTGGTTGTAGCAGCTCCCGGGCCTGGTTGTAGCAGCTCCCGAGC